TTGTTATCTTTTTGATATAAATTTGAGCAGAAGATTGCGTTCTAGATATACAAAAAATAATATCACTGTGCTAGAATAACGACGCAAACGCAAATTTATCGTCATTCGAGCGATGATGTGAGCATAAATTTATCGTCATTTATCCATTTTGATATGAATTTGGGTAAATAAATGCGTTCTAGATAGAAATCATTGATTTGACGATGCAAAAGCGAATTTATATGCAAGATTGATACCGGCAACAAAAATTGTGCCAGAACTCCCTTTTTGCTCCTACTTAAGCCGGCTTCCAACCTGGTTTCCCGTTCCATACCCTCAGATTCTTTCCCAACCTTTCACATCCACCAATGCTCTGTCTGTCAAAACTACATCCTCATTCCACCCTTGACAAGACTGATTTGCCACATCTATAATTGAATAGAATTCTAAGCACTTCACTTGTGCTAGCAAAAAGGCCCGTGCAAAGCTCTGAATCTTCCCCACTACGGAGGCTAACTTTTTTACTAGTAGTACCTTCAAAGCCCCAATAATTGCTAACTCCTCTTGCACTTTTTAAATCTTTCCCTCTGGCACCTCGACTAATGCCTTCTCTGTATCTACTATAAGACCATAAATCTTTATCCTTTTTGTTGGCTTCCAACACCTTTTTTTTAATACCCTTACAAAACCACACCCTTCCAAATCGACCTTTATTATATTGTCTCTTATATTTAACAATCTTTTCTTTGAAACACTCCCTACCTATATATCATCTATATGATTTCCACAATACACTCCTCGTGACTTTCAAAAACCTATTAATACCCTAATTATTTTCAAAAAAATCCAAGGCATCTAGGACAGCCCAAATAGGAGAAAACCATTTCTCCCCCACCCAAAAATCTAAAAAATGCTGAGCCCAATTATCTATCAACACATAATAATAATCATCTCTCAAATCAAACACAATAATTCACCAATCTCTTTCAATCGTTCTTAGAAAACCCCCAAGACCTTCGAAACAGAACATCTTTATAAGCAGAACCTGATTTAACCTTCTCAGGCCTATTACTAAACAAAACTTCTTGGGACCCATCTTTGGTACTAAGAAAACAGAACTTACTTCTAACAAAAAAGCTGGCCTTACTTTTCCCACATAAACTAGCTCTATTGCTCCAACATCCCTTAACCTTTCTAACTCCCGATCAATCTACACCAATTCATCTACCATAAATCTGAACTGTTTGGGGCTCTCTTTTTGAATCAAAGATTTTACCTACCTTGGAAAAAGAGGCACCTTGTTTTCCACTCAACATATTACCAAAGCCGCAAGTTTTATAACATCCCTCCAATAACTCACTGACATTCTCAAATAAATCTTCCCAACCACTCTTCTCTTCTCCTGACTCAACTCCACCTGAGTGTAGTCAGGCTTTTTCTTCTTCTATATCAGATCTACGAAAAGGCTGTCCTGTTCTCTTTTGCAGACAGTCCCAAGCTATGTGACCCCTCTCACAAATAAAACAAACTGTACCTGGGTTCCTACTTTGTTTCACAGGCCTATAGGGGCCATATGGTCTAAGACCTCCTTGAAACGCACCAGGCTGACTCTATGAGCCTCATACAGATGCTAATAAGAATTAGAACCCTGCTTCGAATTACTATAAAAGGGTACTCCACTCTGATTAAAACTCAACTGAAAAGGTTGATGAAAAAATTGTTGACTTGGAAAAGCCTATTGCATTGATTGATTTAGCACAAAACCTTCAAAACTCCCCAGAACATTAGCAAAAGGTGAGTTCGTTGAGCCAAGCTTACTATCAAACCTTGGATGCTTATTCTTTGCAAAAAGTCTTGCACTAGCCAGACTATCTTGAAAAAACACTTTTATAGGGTTTTCATCCAAAGGGTCTTTTATACCTGCCACTACACCCCAACCTTCCTTTTTCAACACCCTCAAAACAAATGCTCTAGTGGCAACTAGGTCACGAACCCTAACCACCACATCCAAATCTTTACATGCCAAGGCACTGTCTAACAACCTACTAACCTTACACCATTCATTATATTCAAACTGATCTCTTGCCTTATTAAACTTTTCTCTTGGCCAAAATTTATTCTCTCCAACATCATGCAATCCCTGAACACCCCTTTTAATCTCTCCTAAAGCTTTCTCTATAGTAGCTTGTAATGTCGCTTGTATCGATTTCTCTAAAGACTTTTCTAAAGCCAAAAAATGCAAATCAGGTAAAGACCAATCTTGAATCTTCGAACTTCCTTCATCTACTTCCACTCCTTTTCCAGAACCTCCTTCCAAAACTGCACCTTCAAGACCAACACCACTCCTACTATCCCACACGTTTTTATTCTAAAAATTATTTTTCAATTTACCCTTTTCCTTCGTCTTCCCGATCACCCTTTCCACTAATCTCTTAACTAACATTTTCTTAGGACCCACCTTAGACAAACCTTCACCACTACACAACAACCTTAGCATCTTCACAGGCAACTGCTCCAATGTAGTTTTCAAACCTTGATGTGAAGTTTTAGCTGAGTTATCCCTGAAACCATCTTTAGAGGACAAACTAGCTGGTAAAAAATCCTGACAATCATTTTTGTCTTGCAATAAAACCATTTTAAAAATTTTAAATAACGAAGACTACATGATATTAAAACACAAAAGCCAGACTTTTCGTCGAGCTAGCAGCAAAGACAAAAGAGTGAGAACACTTTCCCACACACTCTTCACTTAAATACTACTCATCATGTTTACACATTTACCCAATACCCTCAAACAATATATTATCCTTACATATTTTCATGACTAAACGCATAATAATCGTCACAGCTATATCATACTTACCAAACCATAACCCACTGGGGTATCAACAATAAGTTTAATTACAAACTTAGTGCAAAACATATAGTAAAAATCACTATTAAAGATTTTTTTTGATTGATCTTCGAAAATTTCAAGTTATATTAAATTATTAATAAAAAATACCTTTATGCGAGCTTTAATAACTCCTGTTATATTGATTTTTTTTTAATTCTAAAAGTTGACATTTATTCTTTAAGAGTGTCTCTATCATGTAATAATTGCATATTTTAATATTTCATTATTATAATATATATAGAAATTATAAGAAATTTTATAATACGTATTTAATAACTCTATTAATTGATATTTGAGTGATGTAATACTTATGACGAATAGTACAGTAGTATATAATCAAATAATATGCAAAAAATTTTTTTTGTTATTTGAAAATAGGTCAAATTAAAAAACAACAAAAACATTTAAAAAATATACGCCAAAAACGAACCTTTTTTAAAGACACAACTTTAAATAAAATTCAAAGCAATCGTTATCAATCTATTGAGCAAATAGTCAAAGATCTTATTGACTTAAATGATAGTAAATTTACTGAAACGATTGAACAAATTAAAAGAATATATAATGTTAATGAAGAAAGTGAACAACAACGAAATGAATTAATTAATAAAATTCAAAATTTGCCTACAAATCAAGTTTCTAGAGCATCTTATTTATTTCAAGTAATGGTATATCCGCAAGGCAATCAGAAAGGAGAAATTTTTTTTTCCTATCTTTAATTAAAAGCTGTAAATTTTCTTAATACTGAATTTTACAAGAAAAATACTTCTATACAGGCTATAACAACTAAGATTATAGAGCTTGAAAAAGAGATTTCTTTTTTAAAAAAAGATAAAATTAATTTAACTGCTCATATCCGATCACTTTCAATACAAGTTGTACATGCAAGAGATACAAAAAAAAGATATATTTCAAAAATCCGTATAGCAATTCAAAATGCAAAACAAGTTCAACCTAATCAACTTTGCTGTGCAACAAAAAATTATTTAAAATAAATAAAAAAGAATATACTGCTAGTTTTGTAAAATTAGCAACTGAGATCAGCAATATGGGTGTTACTTTGATTCAGACTACAGTTAATTGTACAAAGGCTGTTTATGAATTTTTAACAGGACATACACCAACATATTGGGTTTGTGCAAGTACAATTTCAAAATGGAATAAAAATATTGCAGCACTATCATTTTATGAAAATCAGCCCAATCAAAATATTTCTCAATACTTTGGGTTTGGAATAATGGCTGATGAAAGTACCTGTGGTGAAAAAAAATTATTGATTGTTTGTTTTTTATATTGGAATTCAATTAAAAATTTTTCAACTATTACTATTGTTAAAAAGCAAACTCTTCCCGCAGATCACTTTACCAAAATAGGAACAAGAAGAAAAAATTTTCCCGTAGCGATATCTCTAAAATTTACTAAGTAACTTAAGTCTCGGCTTCTAAATAAAGTTATCTGGCACCCCCTAATCTATCTAAAGAAGGTGCAACTTTGAAAAAAGACTCATTTACGAGAAAATGACAAAAAACACTAAAATAGACCGAAAAACAATTTTTTCATCATTCCGCGAAAGCGGTCCTAAGGACTATACATACTTCACTAATACATATCAAACTATTAGCCCTACTTTACCTAAAAATAATATTAAACAAGGATTACTAAGCTCTCCTCAGTCCCAAACTTAATCTAAAACTATGGCCTCCGAAAGCTCTACCTTCACCGGAGGAATTTTTTCCTACTGGCGCAGGCCAGCAGAACAAAAAGAGACTCCTACCCAGACAATGCCTACATCTCCAGCTTCAGAATACACTAAAAAATTTGTCAACATTACTATCAGAGACTGGACTAAATTTATCTTTACTGTCAACTTCTCTATCCAAGAGTACGCCGACAACTTTCTCTTCTATAGTGATATTACCAAATCTGGCAAGATCCCCAACCTGGTCGATTACCCTTCCCAATGGGTATGTGAACA